AACACTTATTTTTTTATTTTTCATGGTTTAATTATTTTTTAAGACTATTTATTTTAAAGTTAAATAATTTGTCCCTTCATAATTCAATCTCGACTCCATTAATGTACAACATATTTGATGTGTATAAAATTTTAAAATCATAACAACATTAAATATTTGAAGGGAAATTTTATTTATTCATATTATATTAAACAACTCAATATATTAACCCTGAGACATTCGTAGTTAAAAAAAATTATAATTTTTGAACCCATTAAAAGACCTTAATGGTAAAATAAAATTTTATTTTCTTTAAAGATTCTGAATTTAAATAGTTATATATGTAGGGTATATGTAATTTCTCAATGATTTAGAAATATAAAATTGAACAGCTAGAAAACAAGTTTAAGAGTGTTATCTGGTTTGGCATGACACTAACTTTCTTGTACACAAAGGACAGTCAGTGATAGGGGCCTCCATCTTTTATTTCCAAGTGTTTTCTTCACCCACCCACCTCTCTCTCTCTCTCTCTCTCTCTCTCTCTCTCTGTGTGTGTGTGTGTATAAGTTTGCAATCTGATTTTAGGAAGTGGGGGCTATGCCATCATCTCTTTCCAACTAGGGAGATTTATGGGATTGAGATGGCTCCGAAACCACACACTCCCGAACAAAAAAAAACAAAAAACAAAAGCAAGAGATTACAGGGTTTGATGGTGACCAGTGAGATCGATTGGGGAAAGAGAAATCGATTAAGGCCCACTCTTGTTTCGAGAATGTCTCCAACACATGGGGCCTTAACTTGTGATTTAAGTAACATCAACTCTATTTGTTTCTTTTTTCCTTTGTTTAAATGTTCAATGTTTGTTGATTTGACTTTCGGCTGAGCCCAAAGATCGTCCATGTCTCTTTTATCCAGAAGGCCCTAATGAATACAAAGAGTTTCTCAGGTTGGCCCAGATATTTTTCAACATTCAAGTATCTTCACGAAATTGTTCGATGGAGGGACCAAGCACGAGGTGGTCATTCAAGCAGGAGGTTAACTCTGGTTGTTATCATCACAAGACAGGAATTCGAGATCATAAGAGTGAAGATGCCTCTATTATCCATTAATAACGTTGGAATACCTCTATCCTAAGAACGTTGTGATGACTATTAGGAGTAGAGTTGCCTCAGTCTCAAGCTTACGAATTATAGAATTTACTCATAGGATTAGGATGCCTCCGCCCTAGAAATAGGAGTCTCCCCATCGTGTCTTATTGAGTATCGATATTCATTTACTCTAGTGAGAGTATCATTGCTTTTGCCAAGATGAAGATGCCTCAGCTTAAGTTGTAGAGTTTTAGAGACGTGAATATACATCAACTCCAACAGTAGTGGGCAATTTATGCAGACTCTCTTGTAGTTCTTTCTTCAATTACTCAACTTTTGCTTTCATTTTGAATACCTTTTCAGGACCATTGCCATTGAATACCCCACGAATTAAACCCATGTCTTCATGAATGATGCATGCGAAAATGCTTAAATAAATGCAATGGATGCAAAAATGCATATATGCAAATGCAATGCAATTTGAAAAAGGTATTAATCCCAAAGATGAATATCACAAAAGAAGTTTCACTAGAGAAAAAAGTCTTCATTATCCAAGATAATCCAATCCATTTTCACAAACATACTCTTGCTTGTATGTTTGGTCTAAAGTAGGTCAATGCTTTATCTTGGAGCTTCGACCTTGAAAAATATGCCCCTCAAGTGTTCTATGACCTCTTAGACTTGTGTAGAAGCTTCATTCAAAATATGACCCATCTCGAATGATGCCCATGTGGTGTTGGAGTTGTGCTTCGTGTCTTGATGACAAAAAGTGGAACCTTTGTTTGCAATATTCTATAAATGCATCGTTGCTATGATCAAGTGATCACCTTTCAAATCTTGGCCATGTTGCTCTATCAGTCAACTTTGAAGTCTGATCTTCAAACATACTTCCTCCTAAGCTTCAATTAGACAACAGTGCATGTATGTGTATATGACTACTTTATGGATAAACTTTTTCTCCGTTTATAAAAAAATTTCAATTAGAGAGTTATTTGCAGATCAACACCTTCATGTTATGCTATGATGATTATGCAATGCAAAAAGGTACAAAAAATGACAAAAAGAAAATGAGAAAATTGAATTAGTACAGGTAAAATAACCAATAAAGATAAAAATATATTCAAAGATGAATGTAACACCTACCTGTCATGCTATCTACCCAAGCATGGTTTTATTAAAATAGAAATCCTACCCGGACATGTTTTCTACCCGACATGATTTACTCCATAAAATAATCCTAACAACATGGTATCTAGTTTACATGCTCTCGTTCGGAAAGAAATTTATTCTATGCAGTAAAGATTAAAGATGAATAGTTGCTCCTCCTTTGTGTACACCTATTAGGGTGACTACTATCGAACAAAATTTCGACATATCTCTACCTAAGGTGGCAATTCTATGGTTCATTATATGTATGGTTTTGGTTCTAAAGTAATAAAAGTACTCGAATTGTCCATGATGTTGGTGCCCTTGGGTTACCAAATCCTCAATCCTCATCCATTATAGACTCAAACTAATCGAGTTTAATTTGAGGAAGCACATTCCTTATGTCTACATGGAGGGCTACTCACGAAGATCAAAAGGGCATGTACTCCGAGAGTGATTCACTAGCTTGTGCAGAGGGCTACTCATGAATGCACTAGCGACTCACTTCCACTTAGTGGGATATAACTCGGGTATAGAGCTTATAACATGCAAATGCACGTGACGTATGCGAGGAGGAACTCACAAACCTTTTGACAAAAAGGAAAAAAAACAAGACCCATTTTTGAAAACCTTAACAAGTCTGAAAACATAAAATCAAACATTAGTACAACTATTTATAAGAGTAAAAAATGATGCACGGTTATAAAAATTAAAATTAAAAGGATCGTAACTTAAATAATGGTTTGAATTTGTAAAATTTCATCCACTTGGACAACATATAATCGAATAAGGCTTGTTTAATTTTAAAATAATTATGAGTTTATTTTGAAAATTTTGGTCATAATCACTTTTTAAATCAAATTAATTTTAAAATAATTATGAGTTTATTTTGAAAATTTTAGATTTTGGTTTAATTTTGAAGTTTAGAGTCGTCATCGACCTTTGGGTTAGGTGGGTCGAATATCTAAAATGTCCTTAAAAATAATTTTAAAGAAAAATCATTTTAAAGACAAAAAATTGTTTTTATGTTATTAGAAATTCATTTTTTATGAATCCGAGAGTCGTTATACGTGAGGAAGGGTAAGCACCCCACAACGCCCAATATTAGTACCATCGATTATATGTTGTCTAAGTAGTGGAATTTTACAAATTCAAATTAAAAATTTAAATTATGATCTTTTTATTTCTATAAATTTTTTAAAAAATTGAGTGGATCTCTTTTCGAAACATTTGAATCGATAAAAATGATTTAATTAACTTGATTTTATTAAAAAAAATGATGTTCTCTTACTATGTAAATTAACGAAAATTGAAATTCGGTCGCGTTGGACATAATGTCGTTAACCAATGGTACAAGACAACATTACTTTTAATTCTTTTGGGAAAACGAGAAAACAAATGCATGATTTATGAATGCATCAATAATAACATGCGTAAAATAGGTTAAATATTTGCATACAATAATATATTTTTTATTAAATATAAGTATTTGATACAATAAAAAAGTCCCCTTTTAGTTTTATATAAATACATATCTATTTAAAATATGTCAAAAAAAATAGCACTTACGCATATAAGTAAATAAAGTACTCTTATTAAACTGAGTAACTAAATAAACTATAATATATATATATATATATATATATATATATTAAAAAGAACCAAAATTAATAGTTTAGATTATATTTAAAATCTTAATTATAATATGAAAAATAAGTAAAGAGTCTGGGAATCAGAGACGGAGCGGCACCGACTCAGACTCACTAGCCGGCCATGACGGTAAATTACGCCTGCCCGTATGAAAAATAAAAGGAATGCCAGCATGGCATTTTTAGCTCCCGCACGTGATGCACAGTAAGCATCTATTTGCCACGTCACAATCGAATCCATTTAAATGGTAAAATTTTTGCGTAAACTATGCAAATGGTCTCTGACTATAGAGTATTATATTTTATTAAATTCTTCGGTTATTAAAAATTATAAAATGATTATCTGATTATAAAATATTATTTTTAGGCCCCTCGACTATTAAAAATTATAAAATGATCGTCTGACTATTTATTATTTTCTAAACTTGTCATTTTCTATTACAAAATTGATAGTTGTCTAAGTCGGACTTTAACATAATGACTGGGATACGATGGTATTTTGAGATTATGTGATCAGATTTTATCATATCACAATCAGTAGGTTAACTTTCAAATTATAATATCATCAATTTTTAATGAAAAAATACAGTTTAGAACATAATGAATTGTTATGTGACCTTTTTGTAAATTTTAATAGTTGAGGGACCATTTACGTACTTTATCAGAAGTTTTTTTCCTTCTAAAATTACAAAATAGAGTAGGAAAGTACTTTATCTAAAATTGACAGTTGTTTAAGTCGGACGTTAACATAATGAAATGGGATATGACTTTATCATATTAAAGTCAATACGTTAACGTTCAGATTAGAATATCGTCAATTTTTTAATTAAAAAAGATGAGTTTGGAATACAATAAATTGTTATGTGATCATTTTTAATTCTTAATAGTCGAGGTACCATTTGCGTACTTTACCCAAAGGTATTTTTCTCCAACAAAAATTGCAAAACAGAGTAGGAAAGTGCATAACAAAGGAAGGTTTTGATTTCTGAACGGCATACTTATTTTCAATTTATGAACAACACACTTAGCTCTCTGTTTATTTTTATCGGTGAGATTAAACAAATAAATTACATTAAAACAAAATAATTTCTAATACGTTTGGCCAATTCTTTAAACTTTCCGGGAAAATTTCCCACTTGCAACCGTTAAAATTGCTCTCATAAAGCTACAAGAGGATCTGAGAAAAATATATCCCCGATATCGTCAAAGTAATCGTCCACTTGAGAAATAGACGAAGACGACGATGAACAGCAGCCAAAATCTTGTGTTATATCGATTAACGCGTCGCTATAATTTTCACTCTCCGGCAACTCTGTTGCTGTGTGATCCAAAAACGATAACTCGGGAACCGAAACGTTGAAAAACTCGTCCAGGAAAGGGAAATCAAGCGGCAAATAATCTCCCGAATGATCGAACAAGTTCGTTTCAGTTTGCCACTCACATTTGATGGGAACCACCGGGGACGGTTTACTATCTTCTTCTTGGAATGGCTTTTCCGGTTCGGTTGCTGTTTCTTCAGTTGACTGGGTTCGAAAGTTAAGAACGGAAGTTGGAGAAGAAAGATTGTGAGACAACTCGTCCCCGGATTCATACCCAGAAGAAGCCACTTTAATATTTTCAGTCTTTTCGATGTTTTCCTTAACCGGCGGCGGGGTAACGAAGTTGGTCAAAGCATCAGGTCCCCGGAGTTTGATCGCCGCATTATCATAAACCATGGCGGCTTCTTCAGCGGTGTCGAATGTACCCAACCACACCCGTACACGTCGAGCAGGATCTCGAATCTCCGCCGCCCATTTACCCCAGGGTCTTTGCCGTACACCCCTGAACTTCTTACCGTTCCCGTTGGCCGAAGAAACCTTAAGCGGTCTACGACATCCGGTTGATACGTCGGCGGCGGCTGTCCTCTTACGACTTTTGCTGCTGAAAAGCGTGGTTTTGCAAGAGGCTTCGATGCTGATTTCGTTGACGTAGCACTTCACTCTCTGCCGGCCAAAGAATCCAGCTTCATCGTCGCTCGACACGTCGGTTGCATCGGGGTCGGTAACGGACACCCGTACGATTCTGGGACCATTAGGAGCGCTGCTGTTTGTAGGCTTTCGGAACATTTTCTTGACGCTTTTGTGCTCGGTGTACTTGATCGGACATAGGATAGTTGAGTCCATGTCGTCTTGTTGTTGTGGTCTCAGATTCTGTCCGTGCGCATTGAAAAAGGCTGAAGAACCGTGAATGAGAAGATTAAAACTTGAAGAGACAAGGCTGAATCAGAAATCTGCAAGAAAGGTGTGAAAGAAGGACTAAAGTTGTGTTAAAAGGAAGAGATATAAAGCTTAAGAGAGACTGAAACCCAGCAGAAAAGGAGAGCTTAGTTTAGTTGAGTCCAAAATTATGAATTTGAGGATTTATAGGATCTTCCCAATGGTCGGAATTAGAATAATGGCAAAGATGGTAATAATATATTGTAAGACCCATAAATATAATTAATGAGGAAAAAAGATATTTTGATTTAGTCAAAAAGGCATCATAGGTCACTCTACTTTTGGAAAGCAATTAGTGTAGCCCTTGTATTATTTTTTTTCCTAAGTGTAACCCTCTAATTCAGAAAATAAACTCAATGTGATCTTTTGACCAACGTTTTTCTATCGTTGACCATTACGATGTTGGCATGGTAGTTCATAGTGCTGACATGACAGTCCACGATGCTGATGTGGCAATCAATATGTCATGTTTGAATTATCAATTTAATTCATCTGTCACGCCATCCGTCACATTATCAACCAATGTGGACTATCACGTCAGTACAATGAACTACCACATCAACACCGTAATGGCCAACGACAAAACATATTGGTCAAAAGGTCACATTGGGTTTATTTTCTAAGTTGGAGGGTCACATTGAGAGAAAAAATAAAACGAGAGCCATATTATTATTTTTCAAAAGTACAGGGATCTCTGATGTATTTTTTCCTTTGGTTTATAATGATCGGGTATTAGCAGTACATCTCATTACAGCAAAGATTCCGGTGAGGAACAAGGCGCCGCATCCCGACGATGGCGTCCGATTTTGTGAAGTGGGTCCCTTGGGTGGACTTTGGTCCAATAGTACATCATGGAATGCTGCTGAATCAGATTGTCGAAGTACGTGAGGCCCAAGATACCGGGCTGCGCTGCTCGTCGGTCAAATTGTTTTATTAGCTTTGACCAGTCCCCTAATCTGGCACTTTAATTAGTGATTAATTCCACGTAATCAAGTTAATCACTTGAGGTTATGCTGGTAATTTTGCTCAAGACCTTTGTTGTCACTCGCTTGTCCTGGCGTCACTGGTTACTTTTGTGAATTTTTTTAAATAAATAAGGAAAAACTACTTCATATACAATTTAATTTCCGTTTATATTATTGAATTTTTAATTTTATCAATTATAACATTAAACTTTAATTTTATATTCAATTATATCATTTCACCGTAAAATCACTAATTAGACAATGATATGACTAAAAGTTGTTGACATGACATACCACACCAAAACAACGTTGTTTTGGAGTGATTGTTTTGATTTCTAAAACGACATCGTTTTAGACACTAAACTTTAGGGGTGTATTGATTTTGTCATTAAACTTTTAAATAATTTTCTTTTTAGCATTGTCATCGACAACCAAACACCACCCGTTATCAGTCATATTTCGCATCAAGATCGACACCAAAACATTCATATTTCACTCATATTTCTTCTCCTAGGATTTATTTTCTACGAAACTCGATGCCACTGAACTTTCAATTTTGTTAATCATAACATTGACTTTAGTTTTACGTTCAATTATCACTCTGTCATTAAGTCACTAACAAGACAATGATACGTCTAACAATTGATGATGTGGCATGCTGCACCAAAATGACATCGTTTTGGTGCATCTGTTCTAATGCTTAAAACAACATTGTTTTAGACACTAAACTTTAGGAGTGTATCGATTTTGCCATTGAATTTTGAACATTTCACTTTTTTGGCACTGCACTTTTCGATCATCGTTGATAGCCAATCACTACCCTTGGTCGATCGTCTTTCACGACAAAATTGGTAACAAAATGTTCGTATTTCACTCCTCATTCTTCTCATATGATTAGTTTTTTTTTCATGAAATCCACTCAAAATCGACGAACAAACAAAAAAATCTATCATTTTTTAGATATTTGGAGACTTTCTTAGATTTAAGGGATTTGATTTATCTGTTTGTAAAGTTGAACAGTAAAAAGTATAATTTCGAGAAGACAAACAACATACTAAAAAACTAACCTCATCAGGCAATCATTGAAAGTGATCGAAATATTAATACGTCGAACTTTTAAATATATTTATATCGAGTTTGAGTGGGTTTCATATAAAACTAATCATATGAGAAAAAAAGGAGTGAAATATGAAAATGTAGTGCTAAAAAAGGAATTGTTTAAAAGTTCAGTGGCAAAATCTATACATTCCTAAATTTTACTGTTTAAAACTCCACCGCCGAAACAACCGCACCAAAATGATGTCATCTTGGCATGGCCTGACATGTCAGCAATTGTTAGCCATGCCATCGTCTCGTTTCTAACTTAATGGTGGAGTGATATAATTGAATGTAAAGTTAAAATTCAGTGTTATAATTGACAATTAAAAATTCAGTGATATAAACCAGCTAACGAGAAAGGTTTAGCTGTATCTAAATTAGTTTTTCTTATTTTATCTTACCTCAAAAGATAACTTTTATAAAATTGTTACTATTTTTCTATGATTAATGAACTGTCCTTGTTAACATAATTTTCTTAAAATTTTAATTTAATATATTTTGATATATATATATATATATATATATATAATTCTTTCGAAATAATATAAATGTGTTTGTTAAAACTAGTCTTCATAGTTAGAATCGAGTGATGACTCAATAACCTGAATAGCGAGAATTTTTCTTAATTATTAATAATATACACATATTTTATAAATATATTATTCGAATCAGTTTTTTTAAAAAGAAAATATTTATGTAATATTTTGTTATATTAAAATAATAAATATTTTTTTGTTGAACTTATTGTTAGCTCTTCATTTAATAATTATTTAATTATTTTATTGATCTATCCCTATTTTAAACAATCAGATTAATTCTCTATATTAATAATATATGCTTGTGATAATCTAATCTATGTCTCGTTTATATTTTTATAATTATTTTATTCATTCAATTTTTATTCTTAATTATTTTAAAAAGAATAGCCTATTAATATAATTAATTTATTTTAAATTTTATATTTTTCTTAAATTTATAAATTTGTTTAATATTGTACTTTAATTTATATAATAAAATTAACCTTTATGTATTTGAAAATGTGAAATCATTTTGAAGTTTGAACTTGATTTATTTATTTGTAAAGTAATTACTTTTTAACGGCTAGAAGGAACGTGGCGGGATGCCTAGCACTCGCCGCCATCTTATAAAATGCTTTACCCACGTCTCTACCCTCGGTGTTACTCACACTAAATATTACACAATATTTTATTTAGTTGAGGGACTTAAAAATTAATATTTTATAATCGGAGATTATTTTGTAACACGTGTCACCTCTTGATTGTATAAAAAATATTTAAATAAATAAATTAAAATTAATTAATAAAATCATCCAATCATGTATTGCCACGTGTCATTAACGACACAAGCATATGCTAACACATCTCAGATCTGATTAAATGGTTAATTTATTAAATTAAATTTAAATTAAGAGCAAACGGATAGAATATATAAATATCAAAAATGAAATTATAACCATGTCAAGTTTTTAAATGCCACGCCAGTTTTTCTATCAACTATTAATGGTCAGTGTCTTGATTGATAATAATTAAATAGTTAGGTGTTCTAATTGGTAAAATTGAGAGATCAATGAAAAAACTAAAAGGCTTTAATAGTTAGGTGGTCTAATTGACAAAATTGAGAGATCAATGACAAAAGTAAAAGGGTCAAATAATTAGGTGGTCAAAGATATAATTCATCTTATTTTTTTATGCAAATAAAAACAAATAGTTTTATTAAAAAATTAAAATTACAATGAAAGTTTATAATCAAAACCGTAAACTAAACTTATAATTAAAACATTTTCTATAACTATGGACACAAGAAACTAGTTACGTGAGATTATAAGTACCATACAAGGAAAAAAATTAAAAATTCATCCAATAAACTCGAACAAAATATAGATACAAACAGATCTGAATACATCGGTAAACGAACTAAATAATGTATAATAATTTACTTTGGTGATAGTCATTTTGGTGTATATTATTTATAATTTAATTAGGGTAAAGTACACAAATGGTTCCCTGATTATAGGGTGCTGCTTTATTTAGTCATTTGACTATTAAAAGTTACAAAATAATCCTCTAACTATAGAATATTACTTTATTAAGTCCCTCAACTATTAAAAGTTATAAAATGGTCACCTGAATATTCATTATGTTTCAAACTCGTCATTTTTTGTTAAAAATTTGACAGTATTCTGAGCTGAATGTTAACATGATGACTGAGTTTGATAGTCGTTTGAGATTCTAGGATCAAATTTTATCATCACATTCAACATGTTAATGTTCATTTCAAAATACCGTTAAATTTTTAACAAAAAATGATGAGTTTGGAACATAATGAATAGTCAAATGATCATTTTGTAACTTTTAATAGTTAAGGGACCCAACAAAGTCAGAGGACTATTTTGTAACTTTTAATAGTTGAAGGACTTAATAAAGTAGTACTTTATAGTCAAGGGACCATTTATGTACTTTACCCTTGTAATTATGATTATAATCAGGGATAAACGTAAGATTTTATGTTGATCAAGGGTGGAGCTAGAAAATTTAATTTGGGGTGTCAAATTTAGAAAGGGTAAATTACATTATTAGTCACTTTCATTTAAGTTTTGTACATTTTTTCTCATTGAATTCAAAAAATAATAATATTTGATTATTTTTATTTTTATTTAATTAAGATGGTCACTGAGAACTAACTGTTGGTAGACCTTTAACAAATTGCTGACACGACATAGTAATTTTATAAAAAATATAAAAGGTAAATTACAAAAATGATCACTAATATTTGAGCAAGTTTTTGTTTTCTCCACTAAAGTTTTAAAAGTAACAAATTGATCAG